GGCTCTCCGCGGGGGATGGAGCGGGCGCCGCGTGCTCGCGGGCACCGTCCCGCAAAGCCTGCGGCGCCTAAGAAACCCCGGGAGGTCTGAAGGGCTGGATGGAGCCGTGGGGTGGGGAACCTCAAGGATGGAAAGGGAGCGCTGCCTCCATCCATCCATCCATCGCCCGGTGCTCCCGCGGCCCGCCCGCAGCACCTGCGCCGCCCGAGAGGGCGTTTTTAAAAAGATGTTGCAGCAGCTGTGCCCGCAGGTGTGAGCCTTGCCTTAGGATTGCTCTCCCACTATCCCGTTAGCAGGTGCAGCACTGCAACTCCCAAAAGACAACCCCACCTCGGCTGATAACATGGAGGAAAAAGGTGCTAATTATGCTGAAGAGGGGCTTTTGTGTGTTGGTTTTTTTTTTTTTTTGACAGAGTAAAATTGGAAGAGGTAGTTGCAGATGATTCTGAAGAGACAGATGATGGCTTCTCTTATACACCAAAAGAAGACAAAAAAAGGCGTAGACAAAAGCAGCACGAGGAAGAATTCTCTAGATATGAAGAAGACAGGCATAAAAGGGAAAAGAAAAAGAATAAGAATAAACATAATTCTGAGTATTCCTCTAGTAGGGAAGAGGCCTCTGTAGATATTCGGGACTCTCAAAAAAGGTACAAGAAACGAAAAAGAAAGGAAGAAGTTAGTGGACAAAATAGACTCACAGAAGGTAAGGAAGAGAGCTCTACTGACCAATCTAAAAAGCTTAAAAAAACAGAGAGGGAGAAACAGTTGGCAATAAAAAAGAAGGATGAAAAGCAGACAAAGGCTGTGGCAGCAAAAATGGCTTTAGAACAGGCAAATGAGAGCTTGTCTGTAAATTCTGGTAAAAATAACACCAAAAAAATCACAACAAAGTCCAGAAAAAAGAGAGCAGGATCTTCAGATTCCTCCAGCACGTCGCCTGACAGTGACAGCAGTAAATTAAATGTAAAGCAAAAAAAATCTTCCCATAAACCTGTAGCGGTGACACTTCCCAAAGACAAATCCCAGGCTGCTGCAAATTCTGATGTGAGAACTGTTGTTTCTAATAAAGTGACTGTAAAATCTAACGCTGAAAATTCTACTAAGACTGCAATTAGTAAAAATGCTAAAAAATCCCAGTCCTCTAGTTCAGATTCTGACTCAAGTACAGAGGATGAGAAAGTGGCAACTGCACAAGACAATACTGGAAAGGAAAAGTCACTGCCTAACAGTGTGGCAGCTGTAAAAACCAGTACCACCAAAGGTCCCAAAGCAAAGACCTCCTCCTCTTCAGAGTCTGATAGTTCAGATTCAGAAACGCTTGTTATTAAAAAACCTGCAGCAAATGCTGGACTGACTAATTCCATAGTAAGAAACTGTACTAAGCAGTTGCCAACCAGTATTCAAGGACCACTTGCCAGCCCAGGCCGTGGAAGGGGGCGCGGAACAGGAGAGGATAACTTCTGGAGAGGACCTAGGGGCCGTGGGTTTCGTGGGATGATGAGTGGCCAAGGCCGTGGGAGAGGAGCAAACCCTGGCTTCTTCTATAACTACAGCAGTGAAAGCCAGAAACAGAGGCAGTTAAACGAAGCTGCGACAAACACTTCTGTTCTCGTCCAGGTGAGTGACTTACGCAGTCATAGGTCATCTTTCTCTTGCAGCTTTATACAAAAAACGTATAGGATGAGAGTAATTCAGAAAAGCAGAAAAGATTAATAGGCTAAAGGCTGATCTTAACTTAATAAATCTGATAGTTGTATCTCCATTTAGCAGCCTGAGGAAGTGTTTGTGAAACATTATTCAAGTGATTGTATTATATATCTCAAAACAAAGCACTTGGATACATACCTTACTCTTCTCAGAACTTCTCACAATCCATACAGCATAAACATTGTTTTCTGTTTTTATGAATATAGTAATTAAACTAATGGGTTTACTGTTTGTTTCACAGAATCCCGTGGAGGTCCCCAAGAGAGACTATAGTGTGTTACCTCTTCTAGCTGCCCCACCACAAGTGGGAGAAAGAATTGCCTTTAAGGTAAAGAACTTGTGAAATACTGAATGTTAGCAGGCTAAAATTATTCCATTTGGGCTACTGTAAGTTTTGCAGGATATGCTACAGATAGCATAGCCCTGACAACTAACAGCTTACTCCGAAGAACTTAATCTTACACTGTTCTGGGACTGTTATCTCAATAAGTATAAGAGTTAGGAAGTGGTCTTCATCCTACTTACTCTTTTTTAAAAATTTTGTTCTAAACTTAAGCACAGTTTAACTTCTAACACAGCACCTAAAATGTCTTGTGTCTAATGTTTGTAGGCATCTCTGAAAGTGTTCTCTCCTCTCTTCCTGTCTTTCTAACCTAAGAGTTTCCCATACAACAGAAACTGTTATGGTTTCTGTTGTTGGCTCTAATTGTTGTAAGGTCTGACTTTGATTTCTACAAAGGTTTGGAGCATGTGCATAAGCTAATGTGTTTCTTTAGACTTCCTATATTTGTATAACACAAACAAATGTTTTCTCTGCTGTAATTTCAGTGTGAATTTCCAGGTACATTTGTACAGTGACTCTCTTAGCTAGCACACAAGTCAGTTCACAAATAACAGAATTTTCTAGTTGCACCTTCATAAAATCTCTCTACCGTGGGCATGTTTGCATGTTTTCAAGGTTTATGTTTAAATAAGAATGCCATAAGGAAGCGTGTTACCTCTCTCTTTCCAAAATGCAAGGAAAATCAGCATTAAAATTAGATGCTACAGAAAGAAAAAAAAATTCTCTATGTTGTCATTTCTCTCTGTACTGTTTCTACAATATTATTGCAAATCTTGCTATACAAATAATTACACTCCACTGCAAAACAAAAAAAGTAAATGAAATGAAATCACTGAAGTTGAGGAGACTGGGATCCATCTCCCTGATCTGAATGTAAATCCTTTGGAGCAGAGAGTCCTGGAAGACTGCCTGGGACTGTGATACATCAGGATCCAGGAGTGGGAGACTTGGTTCTTGCACCTTCCTCTTGCTAAAGAAACTGCCTTGGTGTAGGTGGCATCATCAAGGATCAGGAAGAGTTATCATTTGTTATTTGTATTTCTTTCAACAGCGCTTGGAACTAACTGAAAATTACAGTCCTGAAGTTTCAGACTATAAGGTACTGGGTTTTTTTCCTCCCTTAATTCACTCACAAAACTATTATAGGTGAGGTAAGGCCTAAATATTTTGAGATTGTGCAGTATTTTTCTTCTCATTCACTTGACTCTGCAGGCTATTCCTGATGCAGCAGTAAAAATGAAAACTCTAGAACCCAAAACTGATTGCAAATTTGAAAGGTGTAGCAGTTACTAAAAAAAAAACCCAAAAGCATTATTAATGATCATTAATATTTTAGAGATGACAAAAAAACCCGCAAACCTTCAAGTAGAAAAATGTGGCTGTATTCAAGTCCACTGCTGTTTAAAGTCAAGGCAAATTATTGAAACTGGTGCAAGTAAAATTTTGTAGCTACTTCAAATAATTTGTTTCTGGGTAAGTACTGACTTAAACTACGAGGACAGTGACAATGAATAACTTGGGTTTATTGATGCCAGTAACTGCAGATTGCTGAGCTTTAACACTTTGGTCAAGCACCACAGTGGTTGTAAGTATGGAATAGTTATCCAGTGCTGAAGTATATCTTACCTGATTCTTTTCTTGTTGCTTTATGAAGGAGGGGAAAATAATCAGTTGGAATGCTGATAAAAAACAGATCGAGCTTGAGATCCTTTCGTCATCAGCAGGACAACGTAGGTACCCTGAGACACCAAATGCTTGTTGTCATGTGCATCACTTCGAAAACAGCTAGTCTGAGGCATGCTTCATGTTTCAGGAATATTTCTAATTTAAGTTTCTTCTCCACACACCCTTCTCCTCTTCACGCCCTCCCCAAAAAGTCTATTTGGGGAGATGGTTTGAATGGAGAAGTTCTAACACTTGCTAGTTGTGTTGCAGATGGTAAATAGGTATTTACAAAATGAAATTTGTCCAATCAGTATGAGTCGTCAGTAACTCATCTCTACTGTGGTTTCATCTCCTGAAAGAATTAAATTATATGGAATTACAGAGAAAACTTTAGATCATCATGCCATTCTTTGTGACACCGGTGAAGCCACTGTCTTCAGTGGAAGTGGAACTGAGTCCCTGCAATGACAAAGCGCACTTCAGACCTCAAACTATGAATGTCTCTGTATACTGCAGTTGCCATTTAAGGCAGCATTAATGAATCATCATCAGATGAGCGTTTTTGTCAAATTTAGGCAGCATATTGTTCATTAACTTTTTCACACATGTAGTTATATTAGATAATTACCTTAACTTTGATGTGTAGTATTCAGTTCTACCTCAGATTTTTTGTTACTATTATGATCCTAAACACTCAACTCAAAAAAAACCCCTGTTTTTTATTAGCTTTCTAAATATGGTAAACATTTAATCTCTTTTGTTTATAGTTAATGGAGTTGTTTGTTTGTTTTTAAGTTGCTAAAGAGCCAGGGAAATTCGATCTGGTTTACCAGTCTGCAGATGGAGCAGAACTGATAGAGTACGCTGTTTCTCACGATACAAAGGTATGTGGGTGTCCTGTTTTGAAGCCCGTTACAAGTTGTACATAGCTGATAGAAGCCCTGCTTTATGACTCCATTCATCTCAGTGAGATTCCCTTTGTAATAATGCATCTGATTAAAATAAATGAAAGCAAAAATAATTGTTCCTTTCTAGCAAGAATGTGCATGATTACAAGATAAGAATCACTTCTTGCGTGTTATTCAGTTAACTTAGATTCAAAACCAGTCATCAAACTGTGTAGCATTTTGTTTTGGCTAATAAAATAGACAGTATAATGTCTGGATAGAGTAACAGTCTTTACAAGGTTATCTATTCCGTGTGCTGTTCTTACCTGCATCTTTCCTTACCCAGCATGGCAGGCAGGTTGAGAGTCATTAAGAAGGTTGAGGAATCACAGGAAGGATCTGTGATCGTTGCTCAGTAGTGCTGTTCAAGTCTCGATAAAGCATAACGTAAATTATGCAAATGGCATCTGCCTGTGTAGCTTGTACATGCTGAATATTGTCTGTGTTTTGTTTTCAGATAACTGAAAGTTGGGATGCGCTGATAGAGCCAAGACTGATTGTTGAGCCTCCAGTTAACGGATCCAGCGTTGAAAATGGAACAGTCTAAGATGTGAACAAATGTAAATAGTTGTATGGACTTGTTTTGTGAAATGCTGCCTTCTAGTTCTGAGGGCAGCAGATGCACTGGTGGATATTTTCAATAAATGGTTTTAAAAAGAAACTATGCCAAAAGAAAAACAAACACTTTTTCCGTAGTATATGTTTTTATGTAATACAGGAATACTTTGTTTATTATAGGAGTCTTTAATATAGATCTGTGGTTTTGGGCTTTTTTTAGCAGAAGCTTAATAACAATTTTTACATCCTACTGCTGTGACCTGCAGAACTGAAATGGTTTGATCAAAGAGATAAAATATGACCTTGTACTGTCAGTAACTCCATTTACATGTCTGTGTTTGGCTAGAGCCATATAACTGCCATACAGAGGCAGCTTGCTGTAAGGATAATTAAAAAAACATTTTAAAATGGAATATAAATATTGAAGTGCATGTCTCTTCCTCTACAGCTGCAGACCATGATACAAATGCCATGACCTTGCAGTTATTTACAGGGTTCACCTGAACATGTCAAGAAAAGCTTGTGGATTTTAAGCTTCTGTAATTTTGAGAGGCAGATAAGTAGTACTGGTAACTGTCAACTTTGCCTAGAGCAAGTGGAATATAGCATGAATCCCTGGCAAAATTGTGTCCCAGTGTGTTAATCTGCGTAGGCTCTGAAAACCCTTTTTGTTTGTTCTAAAGCAAACCCTTTTGCCCTTTAAGTGCTGAAGTTTCTGTGCTGCCTTTTTTCTTTCTTTCCTAATAGCAGGAGGGGTCACCAGGTGGTGGCAATGTGGCTCCCTGACATCTCTGCTAATTAATAGCATCGAGGTGGCACCTCCTACCCATGTAGTACGTGCATCTTGGCAAGTCTTACAATTTAAGATAATCCCTGTCCCAGGTAGCTGACTCTTAAACAGAAGACATGGAAAATAAAAACCCAACCTCTAGCTACAAACAAACACCTGAAAAAACTGTACATCCTGATTTAGTTATAGGTTTAGTTTAGTTATAATTTATTACTCTGACTAGTGCATGATTACATAAAAGTACTGCACACCTTTGCATTATCCCTATGAAAATGTCTTGTTTGTGAAGGATGAGTAAAACCAATTTGTGTATTGCAGTTCTCATTATTTTCCATTATTTTGGGTTAAAATTTGTTTTTTACAGAAATGGACAGTTGGATTCATGCGTGGATATTCTTGCAAACTGGACAAAGACACTCTAGCACAGTTGTGCTGAGACAGTTGATATTAATGGAAAGAATATTTTTTTTTCTAAAGGAAATCATTAGTTTTGAATTCTATAAAATTGCAAAAGCTAAACGCAAGTATTTCACAGCATTTTAGAGCAGGATTCACCTCTTGTTCCATTGCCTGCAGTGCATTTTGGCTGCAAATTAAATGGATACGGAGTTCCTCTGGCTGTGACAAATAGCTGGGAAACTGGGTGGTCTGCAACAGCAACTGGAACCTGATGCTACACCCCATTGTTGTTCTGTTGGCTCTTGTTGTGATGTTTATTGTTAAATATTATCCTATATATCAGATTTTGGAAGATGACTAAACAAGTATCACTATTACAAGGACTTCCCACCTACATAAAACTGTCTAACCACATTTGATAAAGCAAGATGTATATTCTCCAATAGTTACAAAGGTTAAACTAACACAAAAAGTCCCTCAAATTGTAACCAAAACGCAGCACGACCTACTTACAGGCACAGAGGCAAGAGGTGAGCACACCACCACTGTGGAGGAACGATTGACTTTAGTCGCAGGGTGGAATGTGGTGCTGCAGCCCCACAGGCCACTTTGTGATCTCAGGGTGCCCACACTCAGGCTCTATCTAGGGCTAAACAGCAGCCAGCTGTTCTGTTTCCCAGTGACCCCCTCCCCACTCGAGGAGGGGAATCAGGAAAGGGAAGGAAGACCCATGGATTGAGATAAGAACTATTTAACAATTGAAATAAAAAAAATGAAAAAGAATAATAATATATATATACAGCAAGCGGTGTACTGTACAATTGCTCACCACCCCTTGAATAACATCCAGCCAGTGATCCCAGAGAAGGAAAATCCTGAAACTGCAATCCCAGAGGAGAGAGAGCAGGCCTTGGGAGCAGAATGACAGATGAGACCCTCCGGGACAGCAGCCATCGAGGAAGAGAGCCTGTCCCCTACAAACTTTCCAGTTCATAGCAAGCATGGCATCACATGGTATGGAATACCCATCTGCCAATTTAGGTGTCAATCACCCTGGCCATGCACCTCTCAGGTTCTTTGACATCTGAGTCCTTAGTAAAAACGAGCTGAAAAAAAAGTCCTTATCACTATGTATACCAACATACCAGGGCTGGCTACAAACTAAAACAAAGAGTCTTACCAACTTTGTTCTCACCGGGTGCTGCAGTCTTCTTACAAATGCAGCTCACTTTAGAAACGTAGCTTTTCTGAACAGAAAACTGATTCTTTGATTCTATCCTAGGGAAACCAGGACACAGGATAAGCCAACATTGTGTTCTTGTATTGGTTACAAGTGCAGTGAGTAGGGACAATCGGGCACTCTCTGACCGTACCCGAAACTCCTGCTGCCTGGATCGTAGCCCGATCTGGTAGGTATCAGAACTGTACAGCCTGGAAAACACTGGATTTGTACATTTGCTGAGACACCAGAATCACCCAACACAAGTTGTGGCCAAAACAAAAAATAAAGAGTACTGACCAAAGTCAATCATCTCGAGATCCTATAAATAGTGACCCTGAGTGAGACCCTGTGGGCTCTCTGGGGTCACAGCGGGCTGTGACCCAGCACGTTCCTCTTGGACACCTCTCAGGGTAGGTTTTACGAGGTTTACAGATCATCCACTGATAGATGCCAACAAAGGAGAACAATGAGTAATTCACTACAATTAGATTTCACATCGTTTAAAAGATTATTGATTATTGAAATGGTATACATGCAACATTAAATGTGACACTTAAACTAACCAGCTTATCAAATATTGGACTCTTACCACTCATCTGCAGTACACCACGTATTTATGACATAGAGGCAAGAGGTAACCGTACTACCACGCTATGAGTCGACAAAGTGGATTGACTGTAGTCACAGGGTGGAGCGTGACGGATGCACTTGACCCCTTCACCAAACTAGCAGCGGTTTGGTGCAGGCTCCAAAGCATGTAAAGGCCTGAGCTGTAGCCAAGACCCCTTCTAGTCTCAATATGTTCTCTGAAAACCCACAAAGGAGCAGAGTGACACTGTGAGCGTTGGTGCATGTGAACTTGGAACACCAATCATGGCGATTAATGCATGAATAGCAGGTGGCTTTTCCAAGACTCACTTATCAAGGAATAAAGTAAATTGTGGGTTAGAGGAGTATCGTGCACTCCTTTCCATTGCATGTGATTTGACTACGAGCCAAGCAGTTTATCCCATAAATATAACAGCCCAAGTGAGCCTTCTTGAGCTCTCCCTGCTAGGCAGCGTGGCTGCATGGTGGTGATGTCCCCTTGAGCCGGGAAACCTATCAAGGTTGCTCCTCGAGGAAGAGAGAGACCTTCTACCAATGGTAAATCTTTGGTAAGTGACTGATATTGTGGCTAACCTTGTATGGTAACTTTAATTTTACCTTGGTAACTCTGATTGCATGCTGAATTGATGCTAATGAAAGGATTATAAACCTTGCATATATAATCCTTTAGACATAAACCATTGACTAAGTCTGGGACTAAGTCTAGATCCAGCTGCACCTAAATTCCTCTCTGAGAAAGAGTTTAGAAAGCAACAGGGTCCAGTCGTGACTCAACGGGAGGGTCTCCCTCACTCCTTGTCTTTCATTAACATAAACCATTGACCAAGTCTGAGACTAAATTGGACCTAGCCACACTTAGGCTCCATAAGGAGTCTAGAAAGCAAGGGGTCCACTCTGAACCTTGTGATTCAACAGGAGGGTCTTTCTTACCCTTTGTGTCTCCGGTCTCTCTGTGAATCATTTTAACACGTATGTAACTATTTTCCTTTGTCTGTTTCTTCCAAGCAATAAAGTGACCTTGCCATCAAACTCTGTTATTAAAATCGCTTTGCTAATACCTTTGACAGTGACTCTTTACATGATCTAAATCTCACATTCACGACAGATCACTGAAAGCAAACACCCCAGAGAGAGGATGTTTTGAAGATAAAATCTTGAGTTTTCTTCACCCATTGTTATCAAGTTTGGGTGAAACTACTGTTTCAATGCACAGTTTAAACCAATTTAAGTAAATGTAGTCTGACGGAGCCGGCTGACCGCCCTTCCCGTCACACCCACACCTTCTCCTGATGCAGCCACACACAAGGTTCCTCATACCTGGGGAGCCAGGGCAGGGCTTGGGCGCTAAATGGGTAAGAAATGCGGAATAAGACAGAACGTGCACGCGAACCCCAGAGGGAGCTGGTGATGCTCTGAACAATCCTTTTTTGCTCATTTTCTGTCTCTAGAGTTTCGGGGTCTCTTGCAAGCCGCTTTGCTGGAGGAGCCCCAGCTGCCAGTCATGGGGGCTCCTTGCCATCCTCCTCTATGCAATTTAGCATTATACATTTATTTAAAAATTCTGTTACAATTTTTTAACAAATTCTAGTCTCATGACTCAAAACGTGAGGATGTGTTTGAGCTGGCAAGCTACAGTCACACATGCACAGCAAGCTGTAGGCCTACAGACACGATGAGCACTTGCAGCTAGAGGCTGGCAGCCAGAAGCTGCTGAACAGATCTTGTAGAATGAAAAGTTTGCTGTTGTGACCACAGACCTTGCAAAAATACATCAAGTAGGTGTCAGCTTTTTAGTAATTTGGAGCTATTTGTAATTTTGATGGGAAAATTGTACCTACTTAAACCACTTTGAATATTAAATCCAAAAAAGTCAAACCGTCTTGATGTTTGCTCAGCCACAGGTACACAGGAACAATTTGTTCTGCTGTGCTTCTAACTTCCTGCTCAGAGCCTGAGTGGCACTTCGTATCCGCAATACCTGGGCAAACGGGTATATTTAGTTCAGAACCAGATGAAGAAGTTCTCGAGTAATTGCAAGGAAGTGAAGAGAGTAGTAACTTCAGTAGCTATTTAAATGG